AAAAAAAAAAAAAAAAAAAAAAAAAAGAAGGCTGGTCTAAGGCAGTACTGCAGTTCACAACAGCAGTGACTATAGACTCTTGTCATGTCACATCTGAGACCCTGGGGCTGATGGCTGAAGGCTGACCTATGAGCACTGACCTGGGCTTTGTCCTGCTTCTGGGAGTCTGGATCACTTTGACCACCTTATCCCCAAACCTGTGACCTCGGACCACCTGCATGGCCAGCAGGAGGGTCATGGTCCATGCAGTGCCTGGGGAAGTTGTTTTGAGGTAGGGTTTCATGGCTTCAACTCCTCATCCTCCTGCCTCCACTTCTCAAGTGTTGGGATGGCAGGTGTACTAGTTATATGATACCATATCTCACACTTAAATGTTTTTATTTTTTTGTTCTTTAAAGAAATGTTTAGCCGGGCAGTGGTGGCACACACTGGTAGGATTTGCTGAAGGAGGCAGAGGCAGGAGGATCAGGAGTTCGAGGCTAGCCTGGTCTACAGAGTGAGTTCCAGGACAGCCAGGGCTACACAGAGAAACCCTGTCTTGAAAAATCAAAAAAAAAAAAAATATTTAGAGGTTCTGGGATGGAACTAAAGACCTGTTTCCCCAAAATCCTTAAAAAGAGTTCAGAGATGGAAAGTGAGTTTCCCTGGGTTGCTACACCGCAGCTGTCCTGCATATCCTCAGAGCCCCTGTGTATCCTATCCCTGCCTTTTCCTGAACCCCCCTGGCCAACTCCAGTATTCACCTGGCCCAGCCTTGGGGATTAATGTCTGAGCAGCAGTATGCCTGTCACCCAAAGCTGTTCTGATCTCAGCTAGGGTGTTGGGGAGCCCTACTGTGTCCAGCCGGAAGATGCGGAGTGGTGTGTGAGGTCTCTTAGTCACACCCTACACCTGCTCACCAGGAACTGCACTGGTCTTGTCCCGCCCTCCCCAGATACCCAGGCTCTAACTTCCTCTCTATAAAGTTCCCTGAAGTTGGCGTAGCACCTATACACATCCTGCATCCTTTGTTTACCTCAGAGAAAGGGTCTTGCAGTGTAGTCTAGGCTAATTTGGGGACTGTTGGATACCGGTGATCCTCCTGCCTCAACCTTCTGAATAGCTGGTACTACAAGCTTGCCATCATGTCTGGCTTATTTTGCAGTACTATGAATCCAAGATCTCATTATATTTTATTAAATTATACATTGGGGGGTGGGTTCTCTGTGCAATGGTGCACATCACTTCTTCCTTGTGGTCCTAGGGATTGAGTTTAGGTCATCAGACTTGGTAGCAAGTCTTACTACCTACAGAGCTGATTAGCCAGCCCAGAAAGTACTCTAGAGATGGATGAGCCATGTGCCCGGCCTCTCACTGGGGTATCCTGGGCTATGACTTTCTGCCTTTGGAGGCTGAGTACAAGGTCAGTAGGAGGACTCTGGATCCAATGATGGAGCCTGTCCTGCCATGAAAGACCCAGAACACTGAGACCAGAGGATTCTGAGTTCAAGGCCACCCTCAGCTATATGCTAAATTGCAGGCAAACCTGGACTCATGAAACCATGTGTTCAAACAAGGATCTGGAGAGGTGGCTCAGCAGCTATGAGCACTTGCTGCTCCTGCAGAAAGCTTGGGTTCAGTTCCCAGCACAGAAACTCAGAACCATCTGTAAGTCCAGTTGTAGAAGACTTCATACCTTCTTATGGCTATACATGGCACACAGACACATGTCTACAAGCATATAAAAGCTTAAAAGTGGGTGCTGACTCACCTATCGTCTTAGCACTAGGGAGACCAGGACTGCGTTGGTGAAACAAAGCATTTCCTGACCTTTTGCTCTGTGGTTGAATTAAATTGACTGGGAAAATAACCAGAGATATCTCCTGGAGACTGTGCAGCTGGCAGCTCAATTGTTCTTTGGCTGGGCTAGCTAGGACCCTTCATAATAATATGTTAAAAACTATGCTGGGTGTGGTGGCACAAAAATTTAATCCCAGCAGTTCAGAAGCAAATGCAAGCAAGCTCTTTAGTTGGCGGGCCCTTGCTCTGCATAGCAAGTTCCAGGACAGCCAGAAACCCTGTCTCAAAGATTATATATATGATATATTAGTATCTTTTAAAAAGATGTATTGGGGGTCAATGTGCAGGCGACATCTCCCAGCAATTCAGTCTATTGAAATCTGTCCACAGGTAAGCAGTGAGCAGCAGCAATTGGTGCTGATCCTCACATGGGTAAGAAAAGCTGCTAATTACACACATACACACAAATATTACATAGTCATCAAAAAGGAATGAAGCTCTGAATCATCATCGATTGATGACCCTTGACAGCAATCACACCTCAAAGGCCTCAGGTTGTGGGACTGCACTATGAAATGCCCACAAAGACAAGCAGATCAGAGTTGCCAGGTACAGAGAGGGAACAGGAAAAACTGCAAATGAGGACAAGGCTTTCCTTTGACAGGAAGGAATGTTCTGGAACAGTCAGTGGTGGCGGTTGTGCAACATTGAGTACGTGTTGGATGTCGCGTTAAGAGTTGTTTATTGGAAAGCCAGCGCATGACGTGTGGGAGATTCATCCAGTTATTGAACTTTTAGCATCAAACACGTTCAGCACATCATGCTGTTTCCACAGATCTTGCCTGGGTTCTGGGAATCCCCCATTAGCTGGACTCGGCAAACCCACGCCCACTGGTTTACATAACCACGCCCACTCCTCCCACTGGTGCGAGCAGGCCCCGCCCACTTCACACTCTGGAGGGCTGTGCGCAGACTCCACCAAAGGAACGCTGAAGAAAAAGCATAAATCATAAATACTAAGCGTAAAGGCTGGAGTGGCGCTAACCTTGTTCAAGTGTTAAGGATTCATGAATAACACATGTAGAGGCGGGGCTAGGGCCTTGGAGAAGTGGAACCTTCAGCGCCTTATGAATATGCATGAGGCGGGTGGGGAGCGTCTGTCAAGTGGTCAGGGGTCATAGTCAGTTGAGTAGCAAACCCTTGAAAATTGGCTTGCGAAACTCGGCAGCGGCAACTCCTGAATAACTCAGCTTGTTCGGGCAGCTGAGGCTGCTGGGGAGGGCCTAGAAGCTTGGGGTCTGGCTATGTAGCCTGGTGCGTAAACTCAAATAGGGCGGACCCTGCGACTGCGGGGGGCGTATCAGTTGTGCGTTTGGCGGGCAAGCGCTGGTCTAGGGAAACCCTCCAAGCACGCGGTGGGGGAAATGGCCAAACCAGCCTCATGAATAATGCAGCAAGTCGGTGGGGCGGGCTTTACGGGAGTTTAGGGGCGTGGCCAAACTGGGAGCGCTTGGGGAAGCAGTTCCTCAGTAACGCAGGGTTCCACGACGTTTGGGGGCGTGGCAAGGAACTGGTGGAGGAGGCGGGCTCACCACATGTAGGAGTGGCTAAATGTGTTTCTTGCAGATTTTTTTTTTGACTGTGGTGGGCTCGCTGCTGGCGGGATGCGTGTCCATCTACATCGTGCTGGCAACTGCGAACAAACGTGCTGGTCGTCGCGGGCTGGCAGTCTACAAACACGTTGGAGATCACGGCCAATCTCTCGTAAATAACACACCTTCGCGACGGGTCGCGAGACCGAGAGGGCTTTGCTGGGTTTGGGATGACCGTGGGTTTCCAGCGCTCCTGGGGGCGAGGCTACCTTCGCCTCATGAATAATGCAGCAGGAGTCGTCAGGTAGGAGGAGCCTGTCTGTGAGCTGTGTGCGCGTGTGTGTGTGTGTGCGCGCGCGCGCGCGCGCGCGCGGGTCCACCTGCGCACGCGCATAGGAGTTGTTTGCTAGGGAAGGAAGTTTCTTGGAGAGCCCGGAGGCGTGGCCAGTCGGCTGCGCGAAGAGCAGTTTTAAGGCGAAGACCGGCCTCGCGAGACCCTTGGGGCGTGGCCAGTTGCGCTGCGCTTAGTTTTTGCAGGCGGGTTCGGAGCGCGCGTGAAGGCGTGGCTAACCACTCTTCATGAATATTGCCGCAGGACTCTCAGTCTCGTGGCCTGAGGGCGGGCCTGTAAGTGCTTGGGGGCGTGGCCATCCGTGCGGGCCGCATGCAAAGCGTTCCTCGGCTCTGTCAAAGAGGCACGGGCGCGCGGAGTGGGGCGGGGCTATGCTGGCCTCATGAATAATGCAGCACGTCGGCAGGCGGCGGGGCGGGCCGGCGTGCGGGCGCAGTCGCTGAGGAGGGGGGCGGGGGAGTGATGGTTGCAAGATGGCGGCGCTGAAGGAGGCTCGGAGTTACGGGTTGTCGTGTGGGCGCGTGAGCGACGGCAGCAGGGTGTCGGTGTTCCACGTGAAGCTCACCGACAGTGCTCTGAAGGCTTTTGAGAGCTACCGGGCCCACCAGGTGAGGTTTGCGGCGTCCTGGCGGGTAGGCTGCGCCGTGGGGAGACACTTGCGGGGACCTGTGGGGGACAAGGCCGCGCGTCCACACCTGGCGACAACTTGACCAACCCCAGTGACATCCTTCCGATTGACTCTACTCTCGTCTCTTTTCTAAAAACAAGTCCTTTCTATGTAGTTCAGGTTGTCCCTGAACTGACGGCCATCCTCCTGTCTTAGGTTCTTAAGTGCTGGGATGACAGGTGTGTTTGGATCCACTCGTAGAAGGGGTAGTTTAGACAGAAACTTACTACTTGACCCCAGATCCTGCCACCTCCTGTAACCCTGTTTCCCTGGATACTTTTGGACAAGGTTGTTGTGTTTTTCTCACCGACTGCGGTGGTGGTGTTAGCGGTGGGGGCTTCCTCCAGCTGGGCACTCAGCAGGAGGCAGCTGTATCCACCACACTTGGTCCCTTCTTCATATTCCACTCTTCATCTGGGAGAAATTCCAGGCTCTTTGGTACTGCCTCCTGGCTTGGGAGTGGGGTTAGGGATCCTGGCTGTGTCCCTCTCTCCTGGGCCTCACTCTGGGTCACACCTTGATGCTCCACCCAAGCCACGGCATCACCCTGCATCCATCCACTGGGACAGAAGTTACAGGTCCCCAGGGGAAGTGGCTTGAGGGTTCATCTTACTAAAGTGACTGGGGTGTTGAGTCTGTATCTGGATGTGTGTTTCCCTGTGCTGGCACAGGGGGTGTTGACGCGGTCGAGTGAACAGAGAGTAACTAGGAAAGAATGTGGTTTTCTTCCTGCCCGGGACATGTGGTGCACCACTGGCCAAGACAGGAATTTATTCTCCACTCAGTGGTCTGGGGAGCCTACCTCTTCCCACTTGTCTTCCCTTCAGTTCTTTGAGACACTTCCTGCCTGTGGCCAGGTTTTAGTTTTCTCCTTCCAAATCTCTTCAGAAAAAGTCCTCCTTCCCTTGTCAAAAGGGCTTCTCATGAGGCAGACAGTACCCCTGCAGGTGGGAAGGGTGGTGAGGAGTTGGGTGACAGCCACTGAGTGACCAGCCAAGCCACTCTTCCTGGTTGGAATTCCAAACTGGACTCTTTCCCCTTGGGCCATTCTGACTAGTCCTGGAGGACCATGGCTTTTCTCAGAAACAGCTGGGCCAGAATGTGAGTCACCACTGTCAGGTGGACTTGGTACCTGGTGGCAGTAGCTGGCCCTTGCCCTGCCACCCCAGAAGCCCTCTGTAGCACTGCTGTCATACTGTTATTTTTAATGTTGGGTGTGCATTACATCTCCTAACTAAGCCTAGTCTTCTTGTGAGGGTGCTTGTGGAATTGCAGGCCACTACGCTCGTGCCCTGAGGAAGCCAGTGATGTCTAGCCGTATGACTACCAACCATGAGGGAGTCTGGGCATTGTGGCTGGCAGCATTCAGTGACAGTCCAAACCTGTGTTTATCTGGAAAGCTGACAGGGCACTTAGTGGCAAGGCAACTTTGGAGTGTAATCTGTCGTCAGCATCAGAGCTTCACTCTATCCTAGGCTGCCGTGAAACCCATGACTCTTGACTCTAGGTGCCAAGGTGGCAGGCAGACACCCACCACCAGATCAGGCTCAGAGACACATACAGTTTGTTTCTTGTTTTTAAGTAGAGTCTCACTTCATAATCCTGGTTGTCCTGGAACTTGCCAGGTAGACCATACTGGTCTCTAGTTCTTGGAGGTTTGTCTCCCACCTTTGTTAGATTAAAGGTGTATGCCACTGCACCCAGTTTGTATTTAATCTTACTCTCTGAGTGTGGAGGGGTCTGAGCTGAGACAGTGTTAGCTCTTGTGACAGGAGAGGACAGGTTTGGGATGGTGAACCATGGGGAGGGACTTGGAGAGACGTGGGTGACCAGAGAGAGGCACTGGTGGTCAGCTGGTGCTCACAGGGCCAATACCCCCTCTTGTCCCTGTTTTGAGTTAGTGCCCCATTGAGAAGCAATGCGTCCAGGTAAGCTCCTTTTGCTTCTCCAGCAGCTAGGTCTTAAGTCTGCTGGGCACTTGCTTACCACTGAGTGGTGCCAACAGCTCTTATGGTTTTTCTAGACATGGTTTCTCTGCCTAACCCTGACTATCCTAGAACTCGTCTGTAGACCAGGCTGGTCTGGCTGGAACTCAGAGATCTGCCCACCTCTGCCTCTGAATGCTGGGATTAAAGTTGTGTATCACCACTTTCCAACCGCTTGCTTTTATTTTATTATTTATTATTTATTTTTTTATTTTTTTTGGTTTTTTGAGACAGGGTTTCTCTGTGTGTAGCCCTGGCTGTCCTGGAACTCATTCTGTAGACCAGGCTAGCCTCGAACTCTCGAACTCAGAAATCCACCTGCCTCTGCCTCCCAAGTGCTGGGATTAAAGGCGTGCGCCACCACCGCCCGGCTTATTTTATTTTTTTAAGACTTCTTTACCTCTTCTGTATCCTAGGCTGGCCTTTAACTCAGGACCCTCTGGTCTTAGCTTCCTTGTTGACTGTCATGCCCCAGCAGCATCCTATATTTTAGTTTGAATTGCCAGGAGCTTTTTCTAAGCTTCAGGTGTAGGCAGAACAGGGCTGGAAGGGAACTAGCTGTGGAAAGGGTATGTATGGCCTGGCGAAGAAACTGGACGTGTTGAAGGGTGGGAAGTGTGCTTGCCTGGTCTGGCACAGAAGGCCATGCCAGTTCAAGACACAGCTATAGGCATGGCTGGAGCCCATCCCACTTGGGACCTCTAATGTAAAAATAATACTAATAAATAAAAAAGAGGAAAATTGCCTGAGTTCCAGGGCTGGCTAGGATGAGGCAGGAGGATTGGGGATTCAAGGCCAGTCTGGGCTATATGAGACCTTTTCTCAAATAAATAACCTAAAGTTCCCAAACCAAACGGGTGCTGATGTGACACTTCATCTGTGTGTTTTGGGGCTGTGTGGCTGTGGCTTCTAGGACACATGAAGAAATATGGTCCCTCATCCTTCCAGGACAGCCAGTTGCTATTGAGGGGCATGTTCCCTGAGAGCATGAGGTGGGGCCCTGCCTCTACCTACCCCGTTGTAGTTCATCATTCCTGGGTAGGTGACGCTGTGGCCACATGCTCTTACCCTGCCCTTGGTAGAGAGGCGTGGGGAGGTCAGAGAAAATTGAAGGGTCTAGCAGGGTAAGAACCTTGAGCATCTGTGGGCTAGCAAGGGTCAACCTCCCTCAGTGTCAGCCCCTTCTTCAGTCATCAGAGTCTCCACCAAGAGTGACTCTTGCCTGGATTCTGCTGTGGCCTCATATCCCTGGACATCTGTCACTTGCCAGTAGGAAGCTGCCTTCTGGGCCCATCCTTACCCTCTTCCCCAAAGAAACACCCCTTCCCTGTCAGCATAGGGCTGGCCTTTGGGCCCTCAGGCACCAAGATGCACCCCTCATGTTATACCTGATGTTTTAGAATCCTTGGGAGGCAGAGATGGGCATGGGAGATCCAGCAGACTGAGTGTCAGTAGGGAGCAAAGTGAGGCTGTGGTGGCCACAGAGGGCCTGGAGGAGGGGAGGATGCCCTGGCTCTTACTGTGCTATACCACAGGGGAAATCTAGGTGTTGGGCAGGAGGCTCCAGTGAAGCTTGCACCTTTCTGGTGTGGCTACCCTACCCCTGGGAATTCCAGTCTTTTGGAGTTACCAGAACCCTGCCCTGGTCAGAATGGACTAGTGGCTCCCACTTTGTTCTGAGGCAGATGAGCCTTGAAGCAGTATATCAGTTCCTCCCCAGCTTCCTCAGTGCACAGGGGACTCAGGCTAGTCTACCAGTACCCTTAGAGCATACTCAGTGACTGAGGGGCTAGCCCACCTCACTGGCATGTATTCTGTGCCCTGCCTGTCCCTGCCATCCATCCCAGTCAGCCCCATAAGGGAGCAGTGTCCAGTCTTCAGGTGAGGTGGTGGCTTTAGAGGTCAAGTGACTTCTCAGGACCTCCAAGCAGAGAGGTGGCTCAGGAGCCAGGCATCAAGGCCTCAGAAGGGCTGTGGCTCTACCAGGCAGAGTAGAGCATGCTGGCGTGGGCATCAGGAGTGTAGTAGCCTTGTGCCTTTGGCCTCCTGGGGAATGGGATTCATGTGTATGTTCCAAGGGTAGTTCTGAGGCTGAGTCTCTCCAAGGGCTTGAACAAGAAGCTGGAGTCTTGAGGGGGTGACGGGTGTATATACTGGGGACCAAGCTCCTCCCTGGCTACTGTGACCCTTGACTGTGCTTCCGGCCTTCTGGCTGTGGCCACGGTGACTGTGTGTAAACAGCAAGCACTCAGAACCCACCCCTATGTTGACTCATCTGCAGGCCAGAGTTCATCACCCTGCAAGCAGTTTTGACAGCACACGGGGATTGTGACATCCTGGCGTCCTTGAGGGAGGAACTACCCAGCACGGAAAACACAGCTACTTTTCCCTACATACTTTGTTGGTCCTTAGACCCAAGCCACACCCACAGGAAACCCAGGGATGAGGCTAGCAGGGCACACACAGGAGTCCTGCTACTGGTTGACGTGGGTGCTCTCAGCCACAAAGGTTGACAGTCCTGTGGGTCACTCAAGAGTGCCCCCAAGTGACTTCCTGACAGTAGGCAGCTATGGCAGATGAGTATTTTTTCTGTTTTTATTCTTTCTCCTCTTCTTAGACAGGTGTTATGTAGCACGGGCTGGCCCTTTCTTCTGCCTCCCAAGTGCTTGGGTGACAGGTGTTTGCTACCACACCCAGTTGTTGTGTCACCTTTCAATAAAAAGAAAAGCTGATGTCCAAATAGATCATCCTGAGGAAACTGTCCCACACTCAGTGTCACAGACTTGTGCTCTTATGATGTCTTGCAGACAGGAGCCTCTCTGGCCAAAGGGGAGATGTGACTCCCGACTGCGTCAGGCCTAAGGGGTGGGGGTAGGGACTGGCATTAAAGTGATCGGGAGTCCCCGCACGTGGGAAGCCTTGTCGCCTTCTTGCTATGTGCACAGCCAGCATGGAG